TCGTGTTGCCCAGGCTGGAGTGCAATGGCGCAATCTCGGCTCACCACATCCTCCACCTCAAGCAATTCTCCTGCCTCGGCCTCCCAAGTAGCTGGGATTACAGACATTCGCCACCACAACTGGCTAATTTTGTATTTTTAGTAGAGATGGGGTTTCTAAATGTTGGTCAGGCTGGTCTCAAACTCCTGACCTCAGATGATCCGCCTGCCTTAGCCTCCCAAAGTACTGGGATTACAGGCACGAGCCACCAAGCCCAGCCTAAAAACATTTTTTAACCGAGTATCCAGGCAGTTCAGCCTGCTGGATAAGATAAGGAGGGGAAGATTCTAATGCCGATAATGGAATATAGAGAAAGTTGTTTATTCTAAACGTTCTTCAACGTGCTCATCTTTGAAGTAAAATAACCCTCGACATGATTTTGTGGGAATAAAAAGTTGAAATAGTTTGTACAAAGCTAGGTTCTGTTTGCCTAAAGGGTTCCCCTTTGTGAGCAAAACATCTAAATTTAATATTAGCACAACCAAATGTAAGTATTTCCCTGCGACTACCAAAACAGAAAAGATGTGTTCCCACAAAAGCTGCTACACAGCACTTTCCTGTCCCCAGAAGCAGTACAGAATCTTAGCATTGCAATGGAAAGCATGTATTTGTCAAATATTCTAAAATCAGGTCTATAGTTTCTTTCTACTGTTTGATAAGGGATCAGACAGAGGGTGTGTTCCCCTCCAGCAGCTACCCTTCTTGACAAACTGGTCTCCAACAATACCTTTCAGAAACTTACAAAACTTCCAGAATGAAAAGAGCACACAAGGTTGGTTGCATTCAACTTAAATGCTTTTATTGACAATGTCTTGGAACAATAAGCAAACAATGCTTAAATTTTTCATTCAAATTCACTTTCCACATGTCAAAAGACCTCAAGGTAGAAAAAAATAAAATAAAAATATAAATATCTGATAATCCATCTTAATAAATAAATTAAAAACACAATAAAACGTTTTCATGGAAAACTGTTAATGTCAGAACATTCAGACCACCTCAACAATGCATGATCAGTAACATTACAATGAACATTGATGTTGAAGAAAAACTACAGTACATGGATATAGCTAATTATTTCTATCTACCAGAAAATAAAGTCATATGTTTTCTTAGTTTAATATTGATCATTTCTAATCAGAACACACTATTGCCAGGAACACAGTAGTTATTGTTAAAATCAGCTGCACTAGATACAATTTGAAAATATCCAGCACCAGGTTAATTCCAATAATGAACCCAATAGATTAGTTAATGCTATGAGAAGACTAAGGAGAAAGAGAAAAGAGACACAGACCCAGGCCTGGCTCAACATGCTACTAACTACCAGCTCTCTGAAGTGTCGCTGGGAACAATACACACTCCATGCGTTTTGCTACATCTCCGGAAGAGGTAAGGACTTGAGTCCACACATGGATGCTTTCAAGTCCTTGAGGCCCACAGCCTGGTGTGTTTCACGCACAGATAAGGTCCTCCCTAGGTCTACAGGAACCCTCTAGGGAAGACGTGTTTCTCCTCTCTGTAATGCACCAGCTCGGGCAGTGGCACTTGTGGGTGCCGGCTGCCTCCCCTTCTCTGCCCGCTTACAGGGCCAGCAGCGTGGGTGAGCTGAGCGAGTCAGAGGAGGGCTCATTGCTGCTGCTGCCCTTGCGATGGGCAGCTGCGCAGCTGGGGAAGGAGTCAGCCTCGGGGTAGGTGAAGACGAAGGAAGACGTATAAGCAGTGCAGCTGGGAGTGCAGGTGACCACCGGAGTGCACAGGGGCTCCAGCTCTGTGGCCATGGGCCCCATCCCCAGGGAGCCACCATGCAGGGGCTCCCAGTCTGCTGCATAGAAGGACCCAGACAGGTCCATGTCTGGCACAGAGCGGGCTGTCTCAGAGCCACTAGGCCTGGATGATGCTGGGAACAGGAAGTCATCAAAGGGCTCAGCTTTCAGCTCCATGCTGCTGATGCTCTTGACAGGCTCCACTGAGGGCTTGGGCTCAGGGTCATTGAGGAGAGGCAGGCTGAAGGCCTCCTCAGCCTCCGGGGTGGCAGCCTCTGGCAGGCCCCCAGTCAGATCAAGGGAAGCCACAGACATGTCTTCTGGGAAGCCCAGGTCATCAGGGATCTTGCAGGCAGGTCGGTGAGCAGCCAGGATGAACTCTAGTTTTTCCTTCTCCTTCAGCAGGTTGGCAATCTCGGTCTGCAAAGCAGACTTCTCATCTTCTAGTTGGTCTGTCTCCTGAATACAGAGGATAAAGGAAAGCATAAGACATAGTCTAACTCAGGGGCCCTTATGCCCAATCTCCAACTTTCCCCTTAAGTTTTAAAACGGAGCAACCCACAGAGTCTACCTACCGCTTGGAGTGTATCAGTCAGCTCCCTCCTCCGGTTGCGGCATTTCGCTGCAGCCATCTTATTCCTTTCCCGTCGGATTCTCCTTTTCTCTTCTTCTTCTGGAGATAACTAGAATATTACAAAAAAGACCAACAGTCAGTAAAAGTGTCTGCCATCACCTCCATTCACCCACCCCGGTAGAACTGGCTCCTGCAGCTTCCCAGCTTCCTGGCACCCCCCTGTGAAGCCATTTGTAACCTGCAGTTGCAGACTAGGTGTGACTTGCATTTGAAATAAGATCCTCAGCAAGAGAACAAAGAAGAGCCCAGTCTAAAAGCACGCAGTAGGAAACTTAGAGAAGAAACTAGGAGAGTACTTCTTAAGGTGAGACTCAGAGTCTGACTTGGGATGGCTTGGAGCCAGGGTTCCCAGTTAGGGAGGTGCAGTCAGCCCCAGTGGCTTTCACCCTCACTACTGGGCTCCTCCATCTACTTCCAGGGCTGCTTCCCACCCAGCCCCCACCTTCCCAGGAAAGGTACGGAAGAGCCCCTCACCTGTTCCACTTTGCCCCTCCTGCCAATGCTCTGCGCTCGGCCGCCTGTCATGGTCTTCACAACGCCAGCCCTGGAGTAAGCCCCAGCGGAGGGAGTGGGGACTCCGAAGGGGTGAGGGGCTCTGGTCTGCGATGGGGCCACGGAGGAGACGAGGGCGGGCTGCACCAGCCATTGCAGGTCCGGACTGGTCGAGATGGCAGTGACCGTGGGAATGAAGTTGGCACTGGAGACAGCCAGGTCCGTGCAGAAGTCCTAGAACAAAGCAGAAGGGAAAAGCCGACGTGAGCGAGCGGGTTCCGGACACAGGTGGGGCGAGTTTCCAGTGCCGCATGCAGCAGCGAAGAGAAACGATCCTGCCAGGACGTTTCTTCTTAAATGTCCCTCATCCTGGATGAAAGGTCTCCCCCTTTTCCTCCCAGGCATTCCGCAGCGCGGTGCCTGTCTCTTCATCCTGCCGCTGCGTTCCCGTTATCCCTTCAGCATCCCTCGCTTGAAAGGGGGTTTGTTATAAATATCCCTGACGTCTGTGCTGACGCAGGCGCCGCTCCGGAGTCTCCAGAATGAACTCGCTTTTTATCAATGAAACTGCCTTACACACCCGCCCGCTGCACCCTCCTCCCTCACCCCTCCTCTCTGCTCCAGGCTGCCGGGGGAGGGGGGATTGTCACTTTCTGCCACCTCCCCGGAGAAGCCAGGCGCTAGTTAGTGAGTCTCTGCTTGGGACACGTCTTCCCCAGCTAATGTCAGAGACCCGTCCTGGAGTGCAAACCAGGGGTTGATCGGAACGAACCTGCCTCCGGAAGGGGGAACCAATTCTTACTATGGCAAGCGTGCGTGCACTCGGAGCGAGTCCCGAGCCCCCGAGCCGGCACCGCTCCGGCCACAGGCAGCGTCCCTCCCGGCACCAGGGAGCCCCCTACTCATCTCCTGGAGCGTCCCGCCCTGTGTCTCCTCCTCCGCGACCCCAAGCCCCCGGCCCCGCGGCGGCGCGAAGCCAGCCTTACCTGGCCGTTGACAGGCGAGCCCATGCTGGAGAAGGAGTCAGCGGGTGAGTGGTAGTAGGAGAGGCTGTCCCCGGCCGGGGACGCGCTGCTGCAGCGGGAGGAGGACGCCTCGTAGTCTGCGTTGAAGCCAGAGAACATCATCGTTGCGGTTAGGCAAAGCCGGGCGAGGGACCGAGGGGCGGAGACAGGTGGGCGCTGTGGAGCAGAGCTGGGTAGGAGCGCGGTCACTGCTCGCTCGTTCGCTGCGCCGCCGCCGCCGGCTCAGTCTCGGCTTCTTGGCTGCTCGCTGCAGTTGCGGTTGGAGTACGAGGCGCCGCAGCCACTGCTTTTATAGCAAAGCGGTTTTATGAATGAGTGAAACGTCACGGGCTCAACCACGTTGGCGCCAGAGGGGTGGTGCGCCGGCCTGGGCGCCTCTGCAGCCGTTTGGCCGCCTCCCCCGCGCTCGCAGCCCCCTACCCGCGCCTTGACACACGTCCTAATTCCATGAGCATTTCGCAGTTCCTGTCTTAGGGGTCTCGTGGGCCCCCAAAGATGAGGGGCTACGGGGATGGCTCCCCCCATGGCTACAGGGAAAGGCCGTGGAAACCTGCTGACGCAGATGTCCTAATATGGACATCCTGTGTAAGCGGGGAGGGATTGACGGGAACTGCTCGCGGGCTGCAGCCAACACCGAGGGTGCAGCGCTGGGGGAGGCGGGGGCCGCGGCCGGGGGAGGGGAGGCGGGAACGGCGCAGAATGCGAGAGAACATTCGCACCTGGTTCAATGCGGACCCTTGTTCCCGAGGCCGCGGGGGATGGGGCAGGGGGCACCTCTTTACTGTGCTACGAAAACTGGGGACAGTTCTGAGACTCAGGGATAGGAGAAACGGCCTCGGGTATACGGCCCGGAGGACTTAAGTCTCGGCTGCCAAAGGAATGTGCCCCTACCCGCATTCCCAATTCTGGCCCTAATTCAGTGCAAAAGGTGGAAGCAGACCCTCACCCCCTCGCCTCTAGCCCCCGGGCTCGAGGAATACTAGCATTGTTCCTGCGTTTGGAAGCAGAAGTGGAGATCCAAAACAAGAGAATACGATAACCTACTTTATCTACGATACTGGGTACTTTGTTTTTTTAAGGAAGACAGCGCATTTATTTATTTATTTTTCTCGGCCATGTGTGGGAATATTAACGAAACTGTCAAATCCCTGAGACACTAGCAGATAAACATTGTGCAAAACCTGGATGCGAAGACATTTGAAGGGGGCATTTGCCCAGTCCTGAGCTGGGGCCCAGGGCTAGGGAGTGCGGGGGTTGGTTATGTGGGCAGGGTGGTCAGTTTAGGATGACAAGGTGGGGTGTGCTTCTTGCGGGGAACTCAAAATCTGCGCTGGGGGGCTGGTTCGGTCCCGCCAGGAAGCTGTGCTTACGGGAGTCCGCAGCGGGTGATTTTCCAGCGCGGACTTGAAGGGGGGGGGAGGACGGGGGCTGGAAGGACAGTGTCCACAGCGCCCAGGCGGAATACCTCGACCGCTGGGACCCCAGCGCTTCTCCAGGTCCTGGAACACGGGGCTTTGGGGAGGCAAGGTGCTCCAGAGTGTGCCACGCCCCCCAGCCTCCTGCCTTGCGGCGTAGGACAGCCGGGGTCACGCTGCCTGGGCTTGGCCCCAGCGCGCCGGCCACCTCCAAGGCGCGAAGACGCAAGTCCCCGCACAGCCCCGGTCTCCCCTTCCCCACTCTTAGGACCCGCCCGGGGGTTGGGGCCCGCGGTGGGCACCTGGAGACGTGCGAGGCAGGATGAGGCCCGCGGGCGGATCGTTCGGGGCGCGCGGGGAGCGGGACCGCAGACCTGCCTACAGCCGCCGCTCCCGGGAGCCAGGCGATCCTGCTATAGATAGTAACAGGGAAGCGGCTGTTTACAGCAACACAGCGCCGCCAGGGCCGTCTCCAGGCAACGCCGCGCGGCCGGGCGCGCCGCCGGCCTGACGAGGCCACCCGCCCTCCCCGCTTCCCTGGGCCGCGGCCTCCCCGGCCCTGCTGCGGCCGCTCCCATCGCCTGACATCATCCGCCGGTCCGGGGGCTGAGCGGCCAGCGCGGGGCTGTGCGCTAACCTCCATTCTTAGAGATCCAACCCGGCTGCAGCGGGGAGGGCAGGAGGCGGGGATTCGTGGAACTGGGCCACTTGCTATTTTTGCATTCCCTGTCACAGGCAGAGGTGAAAACAGAATTTCATCATTGTATATCATTGGTTTATGTTGGTGGGAATTTAGGCGCTTTTTTTTTTTCTCACTCATAAAAAGGGAGAGAAAAGGAAAAACACACATAATACGTAAACACGGATTCCTTGGAGCTGCTCTGAATCCTAAAGCAATTCTTCCGTACTCCTAATTCTATCCTTGATTACAGAAAGAAACAGGGAGACGGGAGGGAAAGGGGTTATGAAGGTAAATACATCTCTTATTATTAATATTAGTTTCAAACAAAATAGGTTAAGCTTTGAATTCCTGAGTCTGGCCTCGCCTGCCATTCACAACTAGATCTCAGGGCCACTTAAGAGAAAACCAGGTTGGGTGCAGTGGCTCCCTCCTGTATTTCCAGTACTTTGGGAGGCTGAGACGGGTAGATCATTTAAAGCCAGAAGTTCGAGACCAGCCTGGCCATCATGGTGAAATCCCCGTATCTACTAAAAATACAAAAATTAGCCGGGTGTGGTGGGCATGCCTGTAAACCCGGCTACTCAGGAGGCTGAGGCAGGAGAATCGCTTGAACCAGGGAAGCAGAGGGTTCAGTGAGCCGAGGTCATGCCACTGTATACTCCAGCCTAGGCAACAGAGTAAGACTCTGTCTCAAAGAAAAGAAAAGAAAACCTAGAATGATTTGATTTACTTTTCTTTCAGGTCTAAAGCAGCTCTGCCAATACCTAAAAGATGTGTCAAGATTTTATATCCAGGATTTATCTCAAATACACTTATCCTGCCTCTGCCAATAAAAAAAGAGAAGCGTCTTTGAGTGAGCCTGTTTCCTCCAGATAGCTTAACTCTTTCCTTTCTGGCACTATTATGACCAGAGAGTTGGAAACTTAATAAATCCATCCTCCAGAAAGGACAGACCATGTGTCCATTTATTGTTTTATTTATTCAACAAAGAACTATTGAGAGCCTCCTATGGCCTGGCACTGGGCTGGACGCTGTTGCTCACTGTAATGAACAGGGTGGACCTGTCCCCACCCTGAGAGAGATTCCGGTCTCATGGGAAGACTAACAGTCAATAGAGCTTACAGGACAGCAGTAAGTGGTTTGATAGAGGTAAGAAAGAGGTGCCAGGAAACACAGAAGAAGGCTTGGAAGCAGGTCCCAGAGGAAGTGACTGCAACACAGAGATGGGTCCCAGATCCTCTATTCTCTGGGTAATGGAATGATTGCTGGGCACGGTGGCTCACGCTTGTAATCCCAGCACTTTGGGAGACCAAGGCTGTCGGATCGCCTGAGGTTGGGAGTTCGAGACCAGCCTGACCAACATGGTGAAACCCCATCTCTACTAAAAATACAGCCAGGCGTGGTGGTTCATGCCTGTAATCCCAGCTAGTTGGGAGGCTGAGGCAAGAGAATCCCTTGAACCCAGGAGATGGAGGTTGCAGTGAGCAGAGATTGCACCATTGCACTCTAGCCTGGGCAACAAGAGCAAAACTTCATCTCAAAAATAAATAAATAAATAAAATAAAGATTGAATAAGGCCATGGAATCATCCAGGCAAAGCAAGAGCTCACCCAGAAGCCGTAGTGTAGGCCAATACAATTTCAGACTCCCTCGCCTGCCCCACTAACATCCCAACCTATGATCACTCTAACATATTCTCACATCTCAGTCTGCTCGTGGTATCCATTTCAGGACTGCAAAATCACTTTAAAAAGTGGAGCTCACACAAGGTAGCCTAAAAATGAAGACAAATCGGAACAGACGTGTGAAATTATTTTTGCCATTTGCAGAGGTCAGGGTGACTTAGAGACAGGTGCCTGTTTGTGTGCCTCCGTGAGCATGGCACCGCCTTCCAGCAGGGTGGGGATTTCGTGTTCTGGACAAGCCTGAGCATATAAAACCAAAATGTATGTAGTTTGTGATTGTCTATGATGTGCTGAGTTCCTCCTATCCGGGGATCCCAAAGTGAAAAAGAGGGTAGAATTCCACATTTGAATTTTAAACCAAATTGAAAAAACAATTCATTTTTCCTCTGCGGTGTTTCCTTAACCGATACTTTTCCTATTTTGCACTCTCCCTGCCATAGTTGAAGGAGGAGACCTGACCCACATCAAGCTGTTCCATCACTTTTGAAGTCAGGGCACATTGTTTAGCCTGGTGTTATTGCAACATTAAGTGAAAGGCTGCTGCTGTCTGTGCCACCTACGTAAATGCTGCCGCACACAGCCCATCCCCAGCATGCAGAAGTAGTTATTTATTTGGGGAAGTGTGGTCTAGTGGTGAAGGGTTGTGGTCAAAGCACAAGACCAGAAGTCGGGAAGCTGCATATACCCAAGTCAACTTAGGCTTGCTTGGCAACCTTTTGTCTTTGTCTTTTCCGTATGCTGATATTTACTTAGAATCTAGTACAGTGCCTGGTGCATAGCAGGTGTTCAGTAAATATCCCTTTGTCTTTTTCTTTGTTTTTTGTTTTGTTTTGTTTTGGGGTTTTTGGTTTTTTTTTTTTTTTTTT